CGCTGCTTTTCGGTCTGGTTACTACCGTTTATGTCAGAACCGGTGCCATCATGGCACCGGACACCGGTACCCATCCCTAGTTCTATAACTGTTGCTCTCAAAATATCCTTTGAAATCCAGTGCAGAAGAGATAAAAAGCAGCATAGACGTGTTAAAAGTTATCAAAACATAAAGTATAAATGGTGAACTCGTGTTCCTCACTGTTTTCGTTTCCTTCCCTGAGGACAGAAGGAGGAACCGAGGGAGGAGGAGGACGATGGCTACCGATGGAGTTTCTCCCCACGCTCTGCTGTGGCTCAGCCTGAGCGGTTTGAGCTCCCTGGTGTCACCCCTAAACCCCGATGATCCCAATGTGTGCAGCCACTGGGAGAGGTACGTTTCCCCAGTTGAGTCTCTTCAATATTCAAAATGATATTTAACAAAAGAAATACTGCAGTGAACTAATGGACTGCCGCCACAAATCAAAGCTGAGGGTTTGCCAATAATCAAATGCAAAAGGGAAAAGGTTTACTCCTGGGGACATATCGAGGCTGTAAATTCAAAGAGATGGTAATGTGACTGCTTGAGTGGTCCCAGCACTCAGCAGTATGTTGGGTAAAAGCACAATGCTGTTTCTGATGAGAGCTACGGAGAGTGCAGGTGCTGTGATCGATAATGTCTCTGTGTAATCAGTAGGAATTGTGCAAATGGATATTACTGCTGATGATTATTACAGCTTTGACTTCTTGCTAAAGGTTAGACTCAGTTCAGTAACCTTTGTTCAACACAATGAAAACACAGAGTGAGCTCGCTGCCAGCTATGGAGGGTAAGGAAGATGAGTTTCTTGATAACAACCTGAGCGGTTGTGAACTTTAAGGAGAGTAAATGTTTTTTCCCCAGATGACTCAATGGCTATTAAAAGTTTTTCGTATTTAAAAATTTGATTTATTCTAACCGTTGTATTTATAATGAGATCAGTGCTTGACATCCTAATAACCTGCTTTTGGATATCATTGACTAGTTGAGGAAAGAAAAAAGGTTTCTATTGTGAAGTTGGACTTACATTTATGTTATATTTGATGTTTGCAGTTAATACAAAAACGTATTTTAATATATTACATTTAATATTCGTGTATTCGATAATGACACAAGTTTATCCAGAATTAGAAATTCATCCTGTCAAGCTGTTTTTTCCCTGTTCCTCTAGTTATGCAGTGACTGTGCAGGAGTCTTATGCCCATCCATTTGACCAGGTTTACTACACCCGATGCACCGACATCCTCAACTGGTTCAAATGCACGAGACACAGGTATGCACAAAGCAACTCTCTTTGTTTGCAGTATTTTACTGTTTTAATTCCTTTAACATTTAATATTTTAGGGATTTTAAAAGAAGCTTTTTCATCTGCTAATTTTGTTCTGCCTAAAAAAATACAAAGAATTATTTCACTGTAAGACTACAAATGTGAAAGTAAAAATACTAGAAATGAAAGCTACAACTAAATAACCTTCCTCATTGATAAATAACTGTGATCAATGACTTAAAGGTATAATATATACATTTGTTCCAGTGGACAAATGAACATATTTTGCTAACAGTTATCCTAAATGTTTCATTCAGTGTAGCTGTTTGTTTCAGTGACATTTAGATTATAATGCTAAGCAATGCTTAACAATCTTAAAAATAACTTTTAATCAGATTCTTTTGATCAGGAATAACAATGCTGGACTAAACTAAACAAAACTAAACTCATCGTATTAGCTGTAGCTGATGTTAAGTCAAAGCTCAGGATTCTGATATCACTAACAAATTGCATTATGGGACAATTGTCTGAGTTGTAAACATGGACTATACGGAGACAGATGTTGCTTCTGGGTCTAAAACTCGTCAGAAGATGAATCACGATTGGAAGCAGCAGCAAAGAGCTAAGGAAGGTCACTGAGTCACTGAGTCAATAATTCATGGCTTAGGTAGTAATTGTCTACCAATTGCTACCATACTGGTAAGCATTACTGATTAGTTAATTAATCAGTAACTAATTACTGATCACTTCCCCCAAAAAGTAATCCCATTACTTTACTGATTACTTATTTTCAAAAGTAATTAATTACTTAGTTACTTAGTTACTTTTAAAAAACACGATTTACAACCTGAA